AAAACAAATTTGGTAAAACTAATAAAATTAAGTGAAGACTGGAGAGGACAGCCTCCCTCATGGCATTAACCTTAGGTTGGAAACTAATGACATACCTATTTCTCATGCCAAAAAGGGCAGTGTGTAAGGCACCTGCAAAAGCAGAAGCTGGAGCTATAGCAGCTGTAGGAACTCCACGAACTGCAGTTGCCAATACAGATCTGGCACTGGCCCCTCGCTGGTATTGTTTCAAGGGTGTTCGAACTAAGGCAGTAGCAGATTTCTCAAGGCCATCACTGATACTCTCATAAGCCTGACAAATTTAAAACGTCAGTCATATCTTTAGAAAAATAAATCTAATTTATAGTAATGCAGATTATCATCCGCATAGAATTAAAAGGCTTCTTCTTCCTTTTTTCAAGGTAAAATTTGGATCAAATATGACTACCTAGCTCCCAAACTTTTACCATGACAGCAAATAAGCATACACATCCCCAAAATATTACAAACTGAAAGAGCAATCAAATTTAAAATCAGAACATTTTTGGCATTTTCCTCCTCTTACAGAGGCTACCTTTTGACACACCATAAAATGACAGTTAACACCTTATTACCCTGACAGGAGATCCTATACATAAATGCACACACACACATTTGAAAATCCATATACATACTTAGCAGCTTAAAATCTAAAAACTCTCAGAATTCTAATAAGAAATCAAAATGCCAGAGATTAAGACCAGAACTGAAAGAAAAGAAACTGCAGTTAACAGTAGAACTTTTAAAGGCCATCAGGTTGCTTTAAGTTGCTGTTGAAGCTACTTCTCTTCTATGTTGTTCTCTTTTTTTTTCTCTCTCAAAATCTTGAAGGATGCACAGAAATAAATGGAGTAGATATAATTTAAAAAGCATGAAACAAGAACTTAACAAATGCCAATAAAAAGCATAAAATAACATTTACCTTTTGAATTCCTTGTTGAGCATCTTTAGGTTGATTATATCTCACATTTCTCTCCATCTTGCTTTCCAAATGCCATGAGACAGGAGGACTGCTTGTAAATAAATATTCTGCCTGGAGCAAAATGTCATGAGCCCCCGCTGCCAAATGCAGACCAAGCCCAACAGCCTCAATTGATATACTTCTAAGAAAAGCAATTGTGCCTGGAAAGGGAAAGTCATATGGGATCATGTTATATTTTCATTATTGACCTATCTATTAAAAGGATCATGTTCATATCAACTCACACGAAAAATACATCTAAACTTTGATCTCACACAACATGACCCAATAATGTAAAACATCACCACAGAAAAGGTAAAGAATCATCTTACACTGGACAATGAATAATTAAAAGAATAAGAGGTTGCCTCAAATTGGAAACAACATTTATACACCAATGATCACGTTAGAAAATGTAGACAATTGTTAAATGTTTGTTACAGTGTCACAAATACATGTAAAAGTACAGCCAAAGGAAGACATGTATATTATACCTCACTAACAAAAGGAAATTGAGTTTCACTCAAATGCAAAACAAATCTGCTTAATTTAACTTACCTCTTTGGATTCCTTTGAGTACCCTCTGATCCTTCCTGTAGCTCTCAAGTGGCTCTGAAATCAGCTTTGCTGCACCAGCACCAACAGCAAGTAATGACCGAATGGTAGGAAGGCCTCGCAAAACTTTATGAATCTACAAAATAAAGTGATTTGTTAATAAGAATACAATAAGGGAATGAGGACTAAAGAATGTAGTACAGTAAATAGGCATGAAGTTGTCAAGAATACCTGATTTTGAGAAATATCCTCCAGCCACTCTTCTATAATTGTTTCACACACACCACCCCAACCATAGATGCCAACAGCATTAACATGTTTTAGTTTAAGCTCAATTCCCTGCATCAAAGTTTATTTTAGTATGATAGGAACAAAATAAGGCATATTCTCAAATCTCACAAGACAAGTTTTTCAAATTGACATGAGTAGAGGTCACTGCTATGAAGGTCCAAAATTGAAAGTCAGGCAGAAATGTCTGACCTCAATTATATGATAAATTAAAAAAAATGAACATGAAATAAAAACACAGCCAAAAAAAGGGGGAAAGGTAGGGCCGCAGTTCAAATAGGATGCATGACCTGATCTGGCTGATAAATGAATTGCAAGATGTGCCAGAGTGTCCGAACGAGAGAAAATTCTTTGGGAATAAAATGCAAGGAGGTAAGCACAGTCTGAAATTCTTAAATTCAACTCAAATCCCTAATCTTGAGGTCAGATCACTTTTAATGGTTCATTTTCAAATATAAATAGATAAATAAATAACTTCTAAAGCACTCTGCTTAACAATATTGCAGATTATTCAGTGAAGAACCTCAAAAAAAAGTACAACATCAGTGTGAAAAGGAATAAAGGTTTAATCATGTTCTCTTGAACCCTTCAATCTGTTGTTTTTCTTCATGTTCAGTTGACCATGTATTGCATGGTCTGCAGTTACCAGTTAGCTCATGTGGCAATTAAATTTGTGAATGCCACATAAGATGTAGACCTTCCTTCAAACAAACTAATCTCATGATGCATAGCCAGCATAAAATGTGAACGCAGATTACCTTGCCTTATGGCAGTTTAACTTGGAAGATGCAAACAACTAAATTAAAACCACAAGACTCCAAACTCCGCCCTCCCTCACTCAACACCAGATGCCATCTTTCCACAAAGAAAAATCACTAGCCACACCATCAAATTACAAATTATAGCTAACAACCAAGCCATAAAAGACTAGCTCATGGAAGAAAAGGTTTACCTTCAGGGGGACAAGGTTGATCAGTTCCACATATCTCCCACCTTTAAGTGCCCGTATATCAACATGGTGGGGACTATAGTCAACTCGAATCCGGATAGGCAATATTTCAAACTTCTGAAATTAAATAAATAAATATCATCAGTACATAAATCTGACAACAAAAATCCAAACCCATACCATCAAGGAAATAGTAAACCACAGATTATTCCACATAATTTACGGAAGATATCTTAGTTTTGAACCAAAAAGTTCAATCATACAATTTTTTATTGCAAAACCAAACCAGAGATCATGAGAAGAGCATAGGTGGTGCATACAGAAAGGACAGAAAATTGAATATTGAGTTGCCATTTCTTCTACCATAACCAGCTAACATTCATAATTATTTTCAATTTGCCCAGGTCTCCACAACAATCAAGAAAAACACAGTGATAATAGTCTCACAACTCCAGATTCAAGAATCAAGGCAAATGAAACACAAATATGATACTTGACATGTGGATGAAATCAATCAGAGTATAAGACTTGCCTGGAAATAAGGAAGCAATGCTTCTTCTGCAATGGTATGGCCAGCAATATTATTACTTCTCACTGTCAAACTAGGCTCTGGAAGAGAAACTGATGATTGTTCAGTTGATAAGCTTTTCTCCCCAAAAAAACTTCTTAGAAAATCAAGTTGGCTTTGATGAAAATGTAGCAGCATGGGAAGGAAAGCAATGCGTAACCTGAAAGAAAAACAAAATTAAGAAAAACGCTTGAGCAATTAAGCTCATCCTTAAAAGCATGTAACAAGATTTCAAAAATCACTTATTAGTTAATATCATAGGAATTATTATACATAAATGACAATTTTTCAATAACATGAAATTTTGAAATTCCTAGAGTTGTACTTATTGAATTAAGCTCCAAATAAGCCTATCAAAAACCTTGATTTTATGATCAAGGTCAAAGGTTCCAACTTTGTAACGCTAAGCAAAACTAATAATTTTTCAAAAAAAAAAAAAGACTGCCATCTTCAAATATAAAACATGTAACAGAAAAGCAGGCACACCTGTACTCCTCAAGAGGTATTAGTGGATCTGGTCTAACAGCTTCTAAGTCCAGCTTGAATGCTTTTGAAGATGATTCTCTAGGATGATCTTTTGAATTATAATAACCCAACACCTTGCAATTAAACAAGGAAGTAGATATTCAAAACTGTGTTAATACAAGAAAGATAACAGAAATGAATTATCAAAGAAACTTGAGCATTACTAGTTGCCAGGGTGCAGCTCTGCTCCTGTCAGAAAGGTGAAAATCCAGGACTGAGAGAGAAAGCTTTGAAACAGATTCTCCACCAGCAGGAAAGATGCCATATTTAAATTCCACCCCAGATAATACAAGCTCTAGAAACAAAGTTCTGTCACTTCCATGTATGTCTGTGGAGTGGTCACCATTCTTTAAAGATACATGCCAATCAGAGCCTGCATACATTTTCCACCTAACATTAATATTCCTTAGAAGTACACATCCAACAACCTTTGCTATATCATCAATCATTGTATGGTCACTAGATGAAAATTTGCCGTCCAACATTTGGTTCAAACTAGCTTCCTCACTTGCATCTGAAATATGGTTTTCTACAATTCTTAATGGAGCATCCCTATACCATCCACAATTTCTTATTCCAAAGTCTTCATTTCCCGTATGAATGGATCTACTTTTAAGTACCTCTTGAGACAAATTTCCACCAGCAGACAATTCTGAAAGAGGCCGTAACTTAGATAAACAGTAACTTTCTATGATTTCAGGGATATAATCTTCTTGAAGAAATGAAGTTTCACTACTTTCCAAGTCTGCATATGAGAAAGTCTCAGCACCGTCAAAACTTAAGCTACAGGCTTCTTTAATGAAACTTTCAACAAGAGGAGCATGAAACTGTGACAGAGATGACTCAAATTGGCAAGTCTGATTCCCATCTAAGTTGAAAGCATCTTCACATATCTCATCCATCAAGCCAACCACTCCACAGTTGCTCTCATTATCCACATTAACTGAATATAATTGTGAAGTTGATGAATCAGAATCATAGGAGATCCCACTTTTGCCTTTGTGGCCATTCTTCTGCTG